TCTTGCTGACATTCCTCTGTGCATTCGTGCATGATGTCTTCAATGGGCTTTCCTCTTCTTGATAAGAAATCTGCATCTCGATTCGCTGCCCCTGGCCTGTACTTAAGAGTGAACCGATAATCTGCCAACTCCGCCACCCAGCGGTGTCCAGCTGCATTAAGTTTCGCTGACTTCATGACGTATGTCAGCGGGTTATTGTCACTGTACACAGTAAAATGAGGCGCATGAAACAGATAATCACAAAAGTAGTAGAGAAGTAAAGTAGTAGAGAACACCATGAGAACGCTAAAGGGTGAAGTGTGGGCGTTGATCGTATATACCGGACAATCGCACATACCTGTCTAAAAGGACAGGTATGTGCATTATGTGGAACATCGTTGTTTTAACAACCCTGAAAATGGCAAAGAGACACGCTTATGAAGCACAGTTTAAACTGAAGGCCATCAGCTATGCGGAGGAACATGGAAATCGAGCAGTGGTGAGAGAATTTAAGATTAATGAATCGATGGTTCGCAAATGGAGGAAGCTAGAAAACAAGCTCCGGCAGGTCAAGAAAACGCAGCTGAGTTTCCGCGGACATAAGGCGAGGTGGCCCGAGACTCGAGCGGTGGATCATCGAGCAAAGAAGGAGCGGGAGAAGCGTTTCGACGGTCACCATTCGGCTAAAAGCAGTTTCACTAGCTGAAGAGATGAACATTGAACATTTCCAAGGAGGTCCGTCTTGGTGCTTTCATTTTATGAAACGGTGCCATTTTCCATCCGGACCAGGACTACGGTAGCGCAGCAACTTCCAGCAGATTATAAGGAAAAGCTGGCCATCTTCCGCTCCTACTGCAGCAAACACATCGGCGACAAAAACATCCAGCCCAGCCACATCACAAACATGGACGAGGTCCCGCTCACTTTTGACATCCCGGTGAGTCACACTGTGGAGAAGAAGGGGACCAGCACGGTAGCGATACGCACAACGGGGTATGAAAAGTCTTCTTTTACTGTTGTGCTTGGCTGCCATGCTAATGGACAGAAACTGCCGCCTATGGTGATTTTTAAGCGAAAGACTTTGCCTAAAGAGAAGTTTCCAGCAGAAATCATCATTAAGGCAAATGAAAAGGGCTGGATGGATGAGGAAATGATGAAAGAGTGGCTGAGGGAGGTGTATGTAAGGAGACCAGGTGGTTTTTTCCACGCATCACCATCGCTCTTAATCTGTGACTCTATGCGTGCCCATCTCACAGCTGATGTGAAAAAACTAGTGAAACAAATGAACTGTGAGCTTGCTGTCATTCCGGGAGGCCTGACAAAGGAACTCCAACCGCTGGACATCGGTGTGAACCGCCCGTTCAAAGTAAGGCTGCGAGCGGCGTGGGAGCGATGGATGACCGGTGGAGACCACAGTTTCACCAAGAGTGGAAGGCAGCGCCGGGCGAGTTACGCCACAATTTGCCAATGGATTGTAGATGCTTGGGCTAACATGTCTGCTGGCACTGTTGTTCGAGCTTTCGCAAAAGCCGGCATCATTTCCGAGGAGCCGCACGGCACGGAAAGTGACTCTGACAGTGAAGAAAGTGAACTTGGCATGTTTGATGGAGATTTAGCGCAGCTGTTCAATTCAGACACAGAGGATGAGGACTTCCATGGGTTTGATTGATGATAAAAATGTGAGTACCAAACTTTGTTTTGCTCCTGCTTCATTTTTAAATACGCACACTTGTATGCTTGTGTGTTGTTGATGATGACGATTACCGGTAATAGAAATGTGAGTAAGGTACCGAACTCGGGTTTGCTCCCGCTTTATTTTTAAATACGCATACGGTACTTGTATGCGCCCTATGGTCCAGTGCGCCTTATGTGTGTGTTAAATACAGTAATGGCACACATAACTGAGACTGCGCCTTTTAGTACAGTGCGTCTTATGGTCGTGAAAATACGGTATATGTCTTTTGCACAGGCACTTTGTCTTTTAGCTGTATCTCCAGCTCTAGATCTTTAATGCATCCCGTGTCCCAGTCATCTTTTGCAAAAACATTGCATTCCTCCCTCAGCATCTGTTTTACCTGCTGCTGTTGGTCACTTGTCAGATGGCTCAAATCCACTGGTGGGTCCCAGGGCTCAGTTTTTGTTGTCTGACTGGACTGCACTGTGGGTAAGGAAGTACTTCCGTCTGATGTCTTAGAAAGCTCACCCTCCATACATTTTACATGTGGCATGTAGATAGCATCAACATTGTGCAGCCACCCCAGTGTAGTGCGACTACAGAGGGTGATATCATGGTCAGTCATGTTTTCCACAGTCACTGCAACAACTAGGCCTGCTGGCCATGGTGTCTCACAGTTCGGCTCCAACACTGCATGTGACCCACTCAACACACTCTTATTTAGCCAACCACATTGCACTGTCATCATGTTACGCTTCGGGATGGTCACAGGTCGCTTCCTACTCGGGCTATGTGGGATGGCTGTCAGGCGTTTGTTTCTTTAGGACAGACAGGACAGCTCTTGCAGTTTGCGCCCCACCTCGAATGCTGAGCACAATCTGTCCAGCATATGCCCTGGGGGATACAGTCTTTGCTGGTGTCATTTCTCAAGCTAATTCTTCTATCACATTAAAGCCGATGATGGGGCATTCAATGTCACCGCTGGCGACTAGGATTGGAACTTGGACGGGCCTGTTGCTCATCCCAGCAACAGCATTTTGGACAGGCTGAACTCAGTCTCTATCCATCCTTCATATGGAATACTGGTCCCATTAGCAGCTGAGAGCTCTAAAGCTCCCTCTTCGAGCAGCTCTTCCACTGACCTCATTTCAGCATCAGGCAGGTGTTTCTTTCTCCAGTTCGTCCCCACTATCGATACTTGTGAGCCGGTGTCCCACAATATTGTGGTGTCCACACCTCCTAAGAAGCCACGGACCTGGCATCTTTTGCCTACCAGCTTCGCCATTTGTTGTTGTTTACCAGTGAGGGGTGCTTTGAGGCTGAATGGGTCGGTTTGGTGCTTCTCCCCTTCAGGGTTAAGTATGATTTCGATCTTACTTGAATTAGCTGAGCACTTTTCCTACGACAACCTGCTGCCCAGTGTTCCGTACTGCCACATTTGTAACAGTGGTCACATTTGTTTCCTGTATTAGATGATTGACACTGCTGGCACTGTCTAACGTTTGTGCTCCTAGGCTGTGACTGGTATTTCCGGTCAGGTGGTTCGACCATTCTCATGTGCTGAGGCTTAACGGTCTGCTGGAGGCTGGCAATGTGAGTGGTGAGGTTCTGCAGAGCCTCACATATAGCCTTGTTGCTTTGATCAACTTTATCCATTAATGTGTCTCGTTTGACCGCTCCACCTTGCTTGTTCTTACTGTCTGATGTGTGCATACTGCTTTCTTTTTCCACCTCTTGATCTTCCCCACTTACTGCTGCAACTTTGATCATCTTTGCTCTTGATGCAGCTGACAGCTTATTCTTTCTTTCCATTTCCAGACTGTATGCCGCAGTCATTTTTTCCAGAAGAACCTCATCTGTGATTTTAGGATTTTGCAGGTATAGCTTCACATCAGCTCGGATGGTGTCATCATGGAGGCCAGTGAGTACTGTCTGGAGAAACTGATTTTGGATGAGCTCCGAACTGTACTTTAAACCAGACTTAACTCTCTCTGAAGCAAGAACAAGTTGTTGTCTCAAATCCATTGCTCGCATCAAAAACTGGATTGGAGTTTCTTTTGGCTCCTGTACAGCACGTGTGAGCGAGTGATACAACTCTGTGGCATCTTTCTCAATGTAATGAGTCCGTAATATTTGCCTGAGAGCTTGCAAAGTCAAATCTACTCTACTCTCAAGGTAGCTTTTCAGTTTTGTTCCTGGGGCTATAGCTTGAATGATGGCTTCAACAATGTCTCCTTCATCATATCCCCTCTTCAATGCCCTCTGGATTTGTCTTTCCAAGCTAGTGCATGTTAATTTGTCCTTTTGGTTTGGTTCTCCAATTTGTCCCATTATTTTCAGATCCCGTCGGTACAGTGGGTGTTCAAAAGGGACACTTTGAGTGGCGACAGGGGTGACTCGTGTAGCATTCAGATGAGAAACACTTTCTCTCTGCTCGTCTGAATTACTGGGTGCTATCACATTTTCAGCCACAGGGTGGTGCTCTTGTACCACTTGTTGAGGCAACGGGGCATTACTTTCGCATCTCTTTTGCTTCACTTCATAAATTTTGTCATCTAATTCCAACAACAGAGACATTCCTTCATCTTCTCGTGCAGTAACATCCTCTCCCTCTAAGTACTGGAGAATACGCCGCCTCAGTTTACGAGGTAAGTCTTTTTCACTTTCATCCACGGCTAAACTGAGGGCAGCACAAATCTCATTCAAATCCGGTGCTAGCAGTGTAAGTAACTTTTCCTCTGTCTCCTCAAGAAGTTGCTCCCAATCAGGAGACATCTGCTGTACTTTAGACATGACGAAAAACTTTTACCTTCACTGCCTTTTCTTGGAGGGATGGCACTGCCGTATGAGTTCAGGTGGGGGGTAGTGAGCGAGGCTAGTCACATGTAGCTCGTCCTTCTTTGCGGTATAAACTCCAAACCGGGCGGAAACACCAAGATTATGTTGCACCCTCAGAGAGACATGACTCCGTTCTCCTTTTTCTTGCAACTTTATTCTCCTCAGTTCAGGTTTGGAGTTTACAGGCAGAATAGCGTATCATCAGCAAAACATCGCTCCCTCACGTCTCAGACACTGTTTTTTTTTTTCTGCGCTTACTGATGACATCACACATCTGAACTCTGACCTCCTGGAGCCAGTAAACTACAAAAATTAACTAGAAATGTGTCAAAAAACAAAACACAATTAAATAAGAATGGTCTTTAAAGATTTTCCCCACAATTCAGAAAAATTGAAGTTTTATAAGTACTTTTAGAGCGCAACATATGCATTGATGTGATGTTAATTTGTTGATCGCTTTGCATTATTTGTGCTTCTGCCTGCATTTCTCTCACTTTACCACCTTCAGGATGAGAGTCTGGCGTATCAGAGCCAGCTCGACACTCTGCAAGCAGAAATCCTGAAGCACAGAGAGGAGCTTCGCAGTCTGCAGGTCGTGAATACTGACAGCCAGCTCTCCAAAGAAGCTGCTAAGGTGACCTGTAATTTCCTTTGCTGTGACTTCAGATTAAGAAACACTCAGCATCGCTCACATTATCCAGCTGATTTGCCAGAGTCATAAATGAAGGAGTCACTGTATCTCACAACTCGCCACCATCAGCCTACATCTTCTTCTGCTTCCCAGGCTGAGTTGCAGCAGCAGGAGGAGCTGCTTCACAAGGAGTGTAAGGAGAGGGACCAAGTGATAGCAAGCTACAGGAAAAAGGTTGATGAGCACAAGGCCCAGGCTGCAAAAGTTGAGAGAAGGGTGAGAGACATTTAATGTACTCAGTTTTTGTAGATGAATGTTGAGTAACAAATAAAAGAGCAAAGATATAAAGAAGTACCTTCCTGCTCACTCCAGCACAGCAGGCCAATCACATTGATGTTAGTGACACAGATGTTTGGTGACATCATCAGTCTCTCCAATGGTAGAACGATGTGAGGTGAGGGCAAAGACAGACTTCTCTTGTCCACATCTTTGTCTTTCCTGTCCCCCAGTCATGTCTGTACCGATTGTAATAACTTAAGAGTAAAAAAAGTAATAAAAATAAACAAATAACAAAGATCAATCAAGTGGACCAGCATGGCAAAGCCGTAATGATCCACTTGGGAAAATAAATGTGTCGGGCATTTTCTTGGTAATAATTGTGATTGCTACAGTGCTGAACGGAAAAACGTGGAATGCCCGCTCTGGGTCAGGACGAGTTCCTGCCCCAAGTGGAGGAGTAAAGTGAAACCAGGTCCCTGACATGTGCAGTGGTTGCTGTTGCATCGTGCAGGTACAGCGAGCAGCTGTGCAGCTGGATGAACTAAGCAGTGAGGTCCAGCACAGCACCACCAGGATGCTGGCTGAAGAGGAGAAAGACATTTCGACTGCTGAGGAGGCCTTCAGACGCATCAAAGAGGCCACAGGGATCACCGATATACAGGTGCAAAGGTTTCCGCTCATTCTGCTACACACAGCGTGCTTCCTGATATGCGTTTTCCTTTCATGCATTTTGTGTTTGTAGGAATTAGAGGAGCACTTTACTTCTCAGAAGGAGACACGTCGACATCTGGAGAGGCGGCGGGAGGAGAACGAGGAGGTCCTGCTGCAGCTGAAGGAGCAGAAGGAGCTTCTGGAGCAACAGTCTGAAGAGATTAAATATTCTGGGGAGGCTAAACTCTCCAGGTCAGACACATATTTAACTCTGTCATGCAGCAGCTGTCACAGTGTTTGTGAATCACATGGACTCTCTGTTGGTGTGAATGGGACTCAGAGGATCACACGAGTGTCTAATTCTTATTCTGAAGCCTCTGCTCTTTCTGTGTGCTTTTTCTAGCCACCAGCAGATGCTGCAGGAGCGTGAGCAGCAGCTGCAGGCTGAGCAGCAGAGGTGCGATGAAGCCGAAGAGCGACTGGATCGGCTTGTGAAAACCCTCGGTCCCGTCCGTCACGGAGTTGAGCACCTGGCAGACCATCTTCAGCACATCTCACTGGTACAAACAACCATAGTCTATTAGGATTCCTGATGTTGATGAGGTCTTCAACGTAAACTTCTCCATTTACTGGGGCAACATTGATTGAACATAGAAACGGATTCTTACAGGTGTGCTGTGTGTTGTCACCATATAGAGAAGGTAAAAATGTCACATCTGACCTGTCCTTGAAGGTCAAGAGATAAAGTGATACTAATGCTATGGCCACTGATTGTATTGACAACAATGATATATAGGGATATCACATTATAGTTTGCATTTGACCTGTGACCTCACTTTTACCTTTCACATTAGCCTGTCTCTCATGTTGAAATATCTTTAAAGGATGTGTTGTCAGGAGAGTGAGCTGCCGAGTTAGTTCGAAGTATACCGTAGTATATTATTAAATACTAAGCTCAAGTCATTCATGTCCCCTTATTTACAAATCAGTTTGTATCATCATTACCTGCTCCCTATATAATGCGTGTGTAATCAAGGTAAACCTCCATCTCAAGGTACGTTTTTTAAGAGTGTTACCTTCAAAGGAAATGCCCCCCAGAGAGAGAACTGCCCTGCTGGAGCTCCACAGTCTTCATGTGCTTTTGTTCCTTTTTTCACGCATCATCTCCCAGGATGAGCACACAGTTCCCAACATGCATCCAGACTCAGAGGACTTTGTGGTGCTGAAGCTGATGGCCCAGTGTGAGCAGAAATTGGAGTCCCTGCAGAAAGAGCTTGAGGGGATGGATGTGGCAGCTATAATGAAGGAGATGGAAGAAAAGGAGGTAAGACAAAAGCCTACAAACTCAAAACTTGAAATGGATCATCTGAGTCTGAAACAACATGTTTGACATTTGGAAATTCAGTCAAGGCTTTTGTTTAAGTTTGTCCATGGGCTCCCCATTAAGAGAAAGGCAGTAAAACATGTGTGTAGATGATCATTAACACTCAGCAACACCTTCTCTGTTTGAGAATATAACACAGAGCATACAAACACACAGTCTGCCAATGACACTGATTAACACTAAGCCTAACCCTTCCTGTTTTTTCTGCTATGAGTTCTACGTCAGGATTGAGGGGAAACACAGCACCCAAGTCAAGCCACCTGAGGATCAAGCAGAAGATCCCTACAGTGATGGTAATTTGGTGTTCTTCTACACACTACCAGCTACGACTAAAGACTAAATTACATTGAAATTGCTGATTACTTAATTGTGTTCCAGAGGACAAGAGTGACAAGGACTGGGCTCACGTCATCTCTCGTGAGGCACTGAAGCGTCAATCTCAGCTAATCGTCGACTCCAACTCAAAAAGAAAGGCCCAGAAGAAGAGGAAGGGCAAGTTTTAATCCGACGGCATCTCCAAACTCTCCCACAATAAAGCAGTGATGTGTAAAACGGGATGATTTTAAGCCGAGTGAACAGACTGTGATTTGCCATTTGTTAGGGCCGAGAGGGCCAGGCTGTGGGTGTGGACTCAAATGCAGACACAGAGGGAGGCAAAACGGGCGTGAACACAGTGCTTTATTTACAGTGCCTAGTGAACTTACAAAGCAGGAAACTATGAATGCTATGAACGGAGAATGCTATGAACTGTGAACTGTGAGGCCAAACTGTGAACATGAAACTCTGAGTGCTATGACTAGGTGCTAGATTTCACGGATGGATCCTGGGAATGGAAAAAAGGGGCAGCGGCTTGGATGGAGGTACGCAGTCACTATAATAAGAGGAGACAAGTAGTCAGTGGCAATCTAGTGAATCACAGCTGAACAATTAGACTATGGTGGTTAGGGCTTACGCGTTGCAGGTTAAAGTGTCATGCGAGGAGGAGGTGTCCAAGGGGTTCCGGGTGAGGAGTGTCCAGAGAGGATCCAGAATATGCTTGGAGTGAGGGGCTTGGCAGGGAGGCAGGCAGGTGTTGTCCGATGATGGAAAGGAAGCAACCAGATGACAGAACCAGCGTCCAGGCAGAGATGTGAGTAGTTTAGGTTGGAAAACGCAACTGCCAGGTGGGTCTTATGACAAAGAAAACACGGTGAGGAGAAAAGCAGTAGTTAAGGGCTTGGCAGCCTAGCACTAACATGAGTTAGCAGAAGATCTGGCAGAGGTCTGTTGTGAATGCTGGTCTTATATGCTGGTGACTTGATTGGAACCAGGTGTGGAAGCTGATTGGAGTCTCTGCCTGAAGGTGGAGCCCAGCGGAGTGGAAAAACCCCGTACTCACCCGGACCAAGACACCATTGCTATCAAGTTTCTCCTCTTAGCTGCTGCTATAAGGATATGTAGTAAACAACAAATGAAGATTTAAGTTTTAACAGTCTTACATGACTGTCATGAATTGATACCTTATGTCTGTACTTGTTGTGTAAGTAGGTTTCATTTAATAATAATAATAATGGATTGGATTTATACAGTGCTTTTCAAGGCACCCAAAGCGCTTTACAATGCCACTATTCATTCACTCTCACATTCACACACTGGTGGAGGCAGCTACGGTTGTAGCCACAGCTGCCCTGGGGCAGACTGACAGAAGCGAGGCTGCCATATCGCGCCATCGGCCCCTCTGGCCAACACCAGTAGGGTGAAGTGTCTTGCCCAAGGACACAACGATCAGGACAGAGAGCCCGGGGATCGAACCGGCAACCTTCCGGTTACAGATACGCTTCCCAACCCCCTGAGCCACGGTCGCCCTCGGCAACAGTCAGCTGTCAACACTTTACTCCACATCATTTTTGGTTGTTTTACTCATATTTCACTCTCTGCCTGTCTCCACAGAATACACTATACAGGAAAGAGGGTGCTCTAAATAGGTCTTGCAGACTCAAATATATGCATCCACTGTACAGGCAATTTTGTTGAGCACTACATGCATGCTATATGGTGTTGTGTGCCTGTGCAGAGGTTTTGGCAGAGGATTTCTTTTTTTGTGTGTGTCCCGTTTGGATCTTCAGCCATCAGAATTGTTGTCTGAAGGCCAAGAAAGATGCCAAACAGTTTACAGTTTACTTCACCAAGTGGATCATCATGGCCTTGCCATATTGGTCCATTTGATTGACCTTTATTATTATTATGTATTTATTTTATTTTATTTTTGGTTGTTACAGACGGGATAGACTAGTGCATAGGTGTCAAACTCTGGCCCGCGGGCCAAATTTGGCCCGCAGACTAATTACATTTGGCCCGCCATACCAAATTACTTTTAGAGCTGGCCTACTGGTATTATACAGCTAATATATATATATTGTTTAGTATTAAGCTTTGCTTGTTCCATATTCAGTTTTTCAGCAAAACGTATTTGAGTCCATAAGAATAGAATAGAATAGAATAGAATTCAACTTTATTGTCATTGCACATGCACAGGTACAGGGCAACGAAATGCAGTTTGCATCCATCCAGAAGTGCTTTAGTGATATAGATATATTACAATATATATTAGCAAGAAAAGATTCATTCTTATATCTGAAGGAATAAATATATTTCAATAAATATTAACGTTAGCCCACGACTTTGTTCCAGTTTTGAATTTTGGCCCACTGTGTATTTGAGTTTGACACCCCTGGACTAGGGGATAGGACAGGGAGAAAGAAAGAATGAAAGAAAGAGGGAGAGAAAGAAAAACACAGGGGAGAAGAGATAGTGAGAAAGGGGGAAGAAAGAAAAATCCCCCCTTCCGGGGGGCGCCCGGAGGGAGCCCAGAGGGATTGATCAAATGTGGTGGCAGATGCTGTATCAAGACTAATGTGATCTATTAGGTGGTTTTTATATTGGTTAGAATTAAGATTATTTTTTATTTTTCCAGTTAATGAGGACCATTTTCTTGGCAATGCATAGGGCCGTAAAAACAACGTGGGCTGTGTTTATTTCTGCAGTGACCTCATCCAAGCTGCCCAGCAAGCACACTAAAGGGGAGGCTGGAATGTTACATTTCAGACACTTTGATAAGTCTTCACATATCTCGCCCCAAAACCTCTGAACTGGTGGACAGAACCAAAGAGCGTGGATGTAATTGTCCGGTGTATTTGCTTGACAGTGTGAGCAGTTGTTAGAAAACAGCCCATCTGGAACATCCTATTACCTGTATAGTGGGCTCTATGTAATATTTTGTATTGTATTAATCGCAAACTGGGATTTCTGATACATTGAAAGGTTTGCAAGCATATCTGATACCAAAAGTTTTGGTCTAAGCTGATCCATAAATCCGCTTCCCATTTTGCAATAGGAAGGGATATTGATTCATCTATTTTAGAAAGTGTTCTGTATGTTTTAGACAATAATTTGGGGGTTTTAGAGTAAAGAATTGTACCACACTTGGTGGTGTTTGTAATTCAGCTTGACTGGGCTTAAATTTATTTTTTACTATGGATTTAATCTTTTGATATTCTAAAAATCTTTTCTTGTTGATCCCATATTGTGTAATTAGTCTGTCAAACGAAATAAAGTCTGTTCCTTCTGATATATGTTCCAAGTATTTAATTCCTTTATAACTCCAATCTGGCAAGTTGATCATATTATTGTTTTGTAAGATGTCCGAATTGTTCAAGATAGGTTTACGTTTGCATGGGATTAATGAAGACTCTGTTATTTTTAGAAACTCCCACCATGCTGTCAGAGAAGAGCTGATGTTGATGCTTTTAAAGCATTCATGTCGTTGGATGTTTGAGCTGATAAATGGTCCGAAATTTCTAGATTATTACACAGTGCCTGTTCTACATCTAGCCAAGGTTCATCTAAGAAGGTATGTTTTAACCATCTAGAGATAAACTGAAGCCTGTTGGATGAAAAGTAGTGATTAAAGTTTGGCAGATCTAGTCCTCCTTTATCTTTGGTCCTTTGTAATGTTTTTAACCTTATACGTGGGGGTTTATCTTTCCAAAGGAATTTAGAAATATACGAGTCTAGAGATCTAAACCAATCTTATGATGACTTACTTGGGATCATTGAAAATAAATAGTTTATCTTTGGTAAGACCATCATTTTTATAGCGGAAATCCGTCCCATGAGTGATATGGGTAGACATTTCCATCTAGCCAGATCGCCGCCTACTGTCTTTAAAAGTGGGATATGGTTTAATGTAGTTAAATCTGCAAGCTTAGGAAAAATATTGATACCTAAATATTTTATATTTCCAGATTGCAGTCAGGTAGATGAAGAATTATGGAAGGAGCAATTAATTGGAAGAGCTGTAGATTTTGACCAGTTAATTGAATAATCTTAGACTCTTGAGAAAGAGTTTATCAATTCAATCACAGAGATATTGGTTTGTGAATTTGGAGAAAAAGTTACACGTCATCCGGATAAAGGCTGATTTTATATTCTACATTCTTGCATTTTATGCCCTTAATTACTGAATTCTGTCTAAATGCTGCTGCTAGTGGTTCAATAAAAATTGCAAACAGTGAAGGGGAGAGTGGGCATCCCTGCCTGGTGCCCCTCAGGAGACAGAAGCTGGAGGATGTTTGGTCATTTGTTCTGACACAAGCTGTTGGGGAATTATATAATATTTTTAACCAGTTAATGAAAGAGGATCCAAAACCAAATTTGTGTAAAGTTGCAAATAAAAATTTCCAGTTAACTCTGTCAAACGCTTTTTCTTGCCCACAACTGGTCATGGCAGATGGCCGCCCCTCTCTGAGCTTGGTCCGGCTGAAGGTTTCTTTCTGTTGAAAAGGTTTTCCTTCCCACAGTAGCCAAAGCGCTCGCTCCTAGGCTTCAAATCTGTTGTTTTTTTTCTTTGTTTTCTTTATATTATCATATGGAATTTACCTTAAAACATAAGGCAAGGCAAATATATTTGTATAGCACAATTCAACAAAAAGGTGATTCAAAGTGCTTTACAGAGACATTAGAAACAAAAACAAATAAAAAGCATGATTTAAAATTGATTAAAACAAGCAAACAAACAAACTAATTAACAAACTAACAAACAAACAAACAAAACCGTATATAAAATAAAAATCAAAACCGATAAAATCAGTAGTTAAATGTAAGTTTTGAAATTTAAGCTTAAGTGTGGATTTGGTGCTTTATTCAAATGCAGCTGAGAACAGGTGAGTCTTCAACCTGGATTTAAATAAACTGAGTGTTTCAGCTGATCTGAGGCTTTCTGGGAGTTTGTTCCAGATATAAGGAGCATAAAAGCTGAATGCAGCTTCTCCGTCTCTGGTTCTGACTCTGGGAACTGATAAAAGACCGGATCCAGATGACCTGAGGGATCTGGAAGGTTCATACTGGGTCAGGAGGTCACTGATGTATTTTGGTCCTAAACCATTCAGAGCTTTATAGACCAGCATCAGGACTTTAAAGTCTATCTTCTGACGGACAGGCATCCAGTGTAAAGACCTCAGAGCTGGACTGATGTGGTCCACTTTTTTGTTCTTAGTGAGGACTCGAGCAGCAGAGTTCTGAATGAGCTGTAGTTGTCTGACTGATTTTTTAGGCAGACCTGTAAAGATGCTGTTACAGTAATCAAGCCTACTAAAGATGAATGCATGGACTAGTTTTTCCAGGTCCTGTTGAGACATCAGATCTTTGATCACAGTGGTGTTTCTGAGTAGCTTATTTGCTTAGCAATTTAATTAACAACTTTTAAATACATTCTTTTTTTCTTTTTTTTTTTCTTTTTTTCTTTGCCTGTCCCGTTTGGTTCTTTTGCATCAGAATTGTTGTCTAAAGGCAAAGAAAGATGCCCAACGGATTTACTTTACCAAATTGACCATCCCAGCCTTGCCGTAATGGTCCATTTGATTCACCTTTTATTGTTCATTTTATTTTCACTTACTGAATACGGGACAGACTTGACTGGGGGAAAGAAGGGGAGAAAGAAAGAGGGAAAGAGAAACAGCTGAGAAGAGGGACGGGGGAGAAGGGCAAAAGACAAAAACCAACAGAATGAGCAGAAAAAAAAAAGAAGAAAAAAAAATGCATCCATCAATCACCTGGATCACCTGCTGAGAAAGAAAAAAGAAAACAAGCAGAAGAGAACAAGAGTAATAGAA